CAATGTGAAAACACGTACCCTAGGTACCGAAATCAGAGATGAAGCTTTATATGGGGGCTATCCTAAAAATTTCAATATTGATAATTTTCGTACGACGATATTTTCTCAGTGAAAACCGAAAATACAAAATTACAGGTGATTAGGTTGAAAAACGAGCTCAAAAGCTTCCAAATACAAATCATTGGTTTATGAGTCTACCCTAAAAAGTGAATCGATTCATCCCATTTTCCATACCAATCTAGGAAAAATATACTTAATTCAGTTTTGTAAAAAAATATACTTAGTACCTGATTTCAAGCAGCAGGTAACCCTTAAAAGCTAGATATATTAATGCTTCAGGGAATATATGGCATGAGGAATCCTATCTCTAGAAAAATAATATTCACTAAGAAAAGAAGAAATTTAGTATATTTTGAAATAATTTAAAGAACTCTCTAATGTAAATGACCTAAGCTCCAATGAAAAAATAATGGGAATTTGAACGCAATCTTCTAATGGCATATCCCCTTTTCAGAAAAACGTTTACTTCCACACAGAAAGAGGCTAACAAAACAAATATTTTCTTCTATTATTTATCGATGATGATAATTATAACGCTAAGGATGATGGCGAAGAGAACTCCGTTAATCTGCACAATTAAAAATTCATAAACAATTATTTCACAATCGATTACAATGGCAGCGAAAAGTGATGATTTTAATGTTTTTTTTTTTTTTTTTTTTTTTTAATGTGAATGCTGTACAACAACAATGCTACATATTCAATATTCACAAAAAAACAATTTCTATTCACAATTTTCAAACATTAAATCCAAAGGTTCGGAATCTGCATCAGCACTTTTCATCATCCATTGTCTATGAGATGAGGCTCAATGAATTTTCAATTTATTTTTTTTTTCAATATTACGTATATCGACATTACTGTTTTAATTAAATTGCTCTTAAAAGAGAAGCAAATGTTTCGTTTCGTCACAAATTTGATTTTTGTTTGTTTGTTTATTTTGTTCTTCCGTACATTCCTCTTTGTTGAGTGCCATGGCACAAAAGATACGACGATTCCATCAGCTTCTGTCAAATCCGAAATCAAATCGCACAACAAAAATCTGTCTCTGAACTATAGCTTGGCGTGGAGCAGCAGCAGCATCCGTTCGGCTAGGCTACGTGTTCTTTGGCAAATGGTTGTTTTTAAAATATAAGCTGATCAGCCGATAATTGGAGGGTGGCTTGTGATGTTGTTCTTCTTATGTTTAATGATAAGGCAGATGTGATTGTGGGGGCCTTTTTCTTAAATGGAAACAATTACCGCATAGTTGCAGACAATGTTGAGCCAAACTTATTATGAAAGGTGACTACTGAGCTTTTTCTGTAGAAAAAAATGAAAAAAATATTTGGGCACATTTTTTGTTTGTAGGATACCTCAGCAACTAAGAAGAATATGGTTCCAATGGTCTCAACGAATCAAATAGTCCTCTGATAATCTTTTACAATTTTTTGAAAAGCCAAGCGTATTAAAAAAAATCTAATCAGGGATTTTTTTTAAATCCGCACCTAATTTCTGAAAATCCAAGATTTGTGTAGATACTTGAAAAAATATTTATAAACAAGTGAAAAATCGTTAAATTAGGCCGGGCCGAACTTTGGATACCCTCCACCATAGACCATATACTGACAGCTACTGGAAATGAAAATATAGGAAACATACCAAAAAGTGGAACTTTACCGACATTTCTACAAAACGATTATGTAAACAATAATGTACACCAAATACAAATTTCAGCAATTTTAAATGGATATTTATAACCTCAGCGTTGTGGGCAATGAGGGTGTATACACTTTGGCACGATGAAATAGTGCCTCATCGAAATATTGGTTCTAGACCCCCAGTTTCTTTGGACCAAATCCGTTTAAAAAAATTGATTTCATCCAAACTTTGCCTATCTTTCTTCCAAACTTAGTTCAAATCCGAATTTGGGAAATATCGGTCCACACTTTCTGGTACATCCCACACAGGGGCTACGTCTAGGCCTAAATGCGGGCTATAGTTCATTATCGAACCTTACGTTCTAGTTTTTTATCTCGATATCCTCCGCACGTGAAATAATTACAACAGTGTCTTAGAACCAAACCCAAAACGCGGAACAAATCAGATAACTATTTTAATATAAATCAGTAAGGAAAGTAGTAAAGTCGGACTGGGCCAACCATATGATACCCTTCACCACTTGGGTATATTGTACATATGTATCCTTACAATTGTATGTCAATGTTCCCTCGAAGGAACATACTCCTGTCTTTCTGCAAACTATGATAAATTTAATTTCATTCGGTCAGAATTAGAGTCGTCTGCGTAGCATGGGACAAATTTATGGAAAATGATTTAGAGCAAAATAAGTACAAGCTATTCGGATCTGGATCTGCACCAATTTTAACAAAACCCAATAACGTCATTCAAGTCTCAATTTGATACGTTGTGCAAAATTTCGTGTTAATCGGACAAACATAAGGAGTTTAGTGCACCATTTATGTAAAATCGAACGAAAACAGCTATATCTAAATCTGAACGGATCTTCACGAAACAGCACACATCATTCTAGTACGCTGTGCCAAATTTCGTGCAAATCGAGAGCTATTTAGGGACTTTGGTGCACCATTTACCTTAAATCGGACGAAAATATATATGGGAGCTTTATCTAAATCTGAACCGATTTTCACGAAACTTAGCACACATCATTCTAGGCTTAATTCAGTACGATATGCCAAATTTCGTGCAAATCGGACGAAAATATATATGGGAGGTATATCTAAATCTGAACCGATTTTCACGAAATTTAGCACACATCATTCTAGGCTTAATTCAGTACGATGTGCCAAATTTCGTGCAAATCGAAAGATATCTAGGGACTTTGGTGCACCATTTACCTAAAATCGGACGAAAATATATATGGGAGCTATATCTAAATCGGAACAGATTTTCATGAAACTTAACACACATCATTCTAGACCTTATTCAGTGCGCAATACCAAATTTCGTGCAAATCGAATGATATTTAGGGACTTTGGCACACCATTTACACTAAATCGGACGAAAATATATATGGGAGCTATATTTTAATCTGAACCGATTCTTCCCAATTTCAATAGGGTTCTTCCTTGGGCTAAATGAATGAGCTGTGCCAAATTTCATCCAATTCGAATCATAAATGCTACCTGTACTTTGTTTACAATTTGACATGGACAGACAGACGGACGGACATGCATAAATCGACTCAGAAAGTGATCCTATGCATATCCTCAAAAGGAACCATGGGTCTATCTCGATTCCTTTCGCCTGTTACAAACATATGCACAAAGACATAATACCCTGCACCACAGTGCGGTGAAGGGTATAAAAAGGGGGTTATATGGGGACTACGCCAAAAAGGGGCGAATATTAATAATTTTTGGTAGGGAGATTTGCTACCATATACGACTACAAAATACCAAAGTGCAGCGAATTCGGTTGAAAAACGCACTCAAGAACCCCAAAATACCCTTATATAGGGGCTATCGGAAAAAGTGGACCTATATTCACAATTTTTTGTGGAGAAATTTGGTACCTATTAGGAACTCAAAATACTAAATTACAGCCAATTCGTTGGAAAAATACGATCAAACCTCCCAAAATACTGAAAATAAGGAGGTACCGTTATATGGGGATTACAAGAAAAAGTGGACCCATATTTATAATTTTTTGTGGAAACATTTAGTACCCAATAAGAACCCAATGTACCAAATTTCAGCGAATTCGGTTGAAAAACGCGTTCAATAACACCAAAATACCGAAAATGGGGGGGTGGTACCATTATATGGGAGCTATGTCTAAACGTGGACCGATATATTCCATCTTCGAGCTTGACTTGCCTGCAGATAAAAGACAAGCCTATGCAAAATTTCAGCACCTTATCTCAATTCCTTCAGAAAATAGCGTGATTACAACAGACAGACGGACATAGCTAGAACGTCTTAAAATTTTACCCTGATCAAGAATATGTATACTTTATAGGATCGGAAATGAATATTTCGATGAGTTACAAACGGAATGACAAAATTAATATACCCTCCACACTATGGCGGAGGGTATAAAAATTCACGCCGTGGATAGACCTTGAACAAATATTAAAAAAACACGCCTTGGATCTTGAAAAAATATTTTTCAAGTAGGAAGTAGCAGTTCAAAGAATTCAATTTCAAAACCTTATCTCTCGCATAGGTGAAGGCCTGCAGGCTTGGCATCATTAATTATAAATTTCACACCTGGAGGCACGCGAATGAAAATAATATATTTGCTTACACACATACACACAGAAATCAAACAATACGATTTAAAATGAAATACTATAGCTCGGCAGACACTGAGTAATCACACCATTCTCCTGATAACCGATATTGTAAGCGTGGCTCAAAGAAACTAAGTTTTTTTTTTGGGGAATATTCCCAAATTTCATTACCGCATAGTAACTAAAAAGTAATTACCAAAACAGTATTCCCATGTTTTTGGACATCCCGATGTAGGCTCTGAAGATTATCAATTCAGAATCTATCTCCCGAATCAGTTTCATTCAATTCTGCTACTACGGCTTGTGAGTCATTTCTTATCACTCGGACAGAAGGTGAAGGAAAAAACAACAAAATTTCGGGGTATTTGTTTGTGTCGCAAAAAATATTGACCCTATCTTCCCTCTTCTCTCACCTCTAATCACAGAAAAAAATGAGAATATGATGTAGAAAAAGAAGAAGAGATTTTCGTAAACATTTGTTTAACAGAAAACAAAAACCCTCTTCGGTCCTTTTCAATGCTTGCCCGACCACGCTGATAAGAATTCTTTGTCATAGAGTTTGATAAAGTCCTCGCCACTTTTTAGCCACAATTCGCCATACGAGTAAATCATTCATTTGACATTCGTCAAAGTGTTCAGATCGGATCGGGGTTTTCGCAAGAAAATATCGTAAAAAAGATTCAAAATGTTTTTAACTCGTCAGGCACTGCAACAATTGACCCGCAATTTAATATCCACATCACGGGTTCAAAATGGACGTTGCCTTTCTGCCAAGGCTCAGGAAGTTTCACAGGAAGGTGAAAATCTCTCAGCCTCCGTTCAGGGATCCGAGCAAATGGTTATTGTCCAAGAAAATGATTTACCACAAGCTGAGACAATGAAATTCCCAGGTGTTTGGTTACGCGACAACTGCCTCTGTGATCAGTGTTTCCACAAGGACTCGTTGAGTCGTAAGCCCATGCGTTGGTCCAACTTCGATTGTGACGTTAAGGTGGAACAAATTACCGTCGACGATAAGAAAAATGAAATTCACATTAACTGGTCGGATAAACATGAGTCCACATTCTCTTTGGATTGGCTCAAGGAACGTAACTTCTCTAAGGAAAATCGTGAAAAATTCCTTCGAGAATGGTATCGCCCACAGACGAAGACATGGACTAAAGAGGAATTTTCGAAAATATTCAAAACTTTCCAATACAAAGATATTATGGAAAAGGATGAAGGTAAGGGAGGGGTGTGATGATGGTGTAGGAAATAATATTAATTCCTGACCTTTTCTGCAGTTCTCAAGGAATGGTTGGACACATTGGCCGTGTGGGGTGTCAGTATGCTGAAGAATGCCCCTCTTGATCTTGGTGTAATGAAAGCTCTTGCCAATCGTATTGGCTTTATTAGAAAGACAACATATGGGTAAGTACAGTACGGGTATTGAAGACACTGTTGTGATAAGAATTCAAAGAGTTCTGTCAGGGCATACAATGAGTGGAAATTTTATAAGACCAGACATTCGCACGTATAATGTACAACATTATGCGTGCGAATGTATTTCTCTGAATTCTTAGTCTTTGAAAAAATATTCTTTAAAAAATCCACGCCTTGTATTGGTCCTTGAAAAAACATTCTTTAAAAAATCCACGCCTTTGATAGTCCTTGAAAAAAATATTCTTTAAAAAATCCACGCCTTTGATAGTCCTTGAAAAAAATATTCTTTAAAAATCCACGCCTGATAGCCCATGAAAAAAATTCTTTAAAAAATCCACGCCTTTGATAGTCCTTGAAAAAAAAAATCTTTAAAAAATCCACGCCTTTGATAGTCCTTGAAAAAAATATTCTTTAAAAAATCCAGGCCTTTGATAGTCCTTGAAAACCCCTTTTTTTGGAAATACACGCATCGATAGTCCTTGAAAAAAGTATTCTTTAAAAATCCACTCATTATAAAGTCCTTGAAAAAATATTAAAAAAAAAATCACGCCTTCTATAGGCTTTTGATTAATTAATCTCTAATTCCTTCTTCGAATTTCAGTGAACAATTCAGTGTCATTTCGCGTCCTGGTGCCAAAAACTATTCCTATCTCTCTGCCCCACTGCCATTGCACACAGACTTGCCCTATTATGAATACAAGCCCAGTGTTACTTTGTTACACACCTTGGAGCAATCACAATCGGAAGGTGGTTGGAATACCCTCACAGATGGTTTCAACATCGCCAATCAACTGAAAGAGAAACATCCCGAATATTTTAAAATTTTAAGTGAAACCTTGGTCGATTGGAGTGACATTGGACAAGATGATGGTGTTTCATTTCACAATATGTGGAGGGCTCCCGTGATAAAGTGAGTAAACAAAAAAATAAACGAATTCAAAATTTTGTGTTATTGATTTCGAATTTTCTCCTTCCTTAGCTTGGACAAAGATGGCCAGTACACGCGCATCAATCACAGTGTTCCTCAGCGTGACACCCACTTCAACATTGACGTCGATAAGGTGGTACCCTGGTACCGTGCCAATGCCACATTCGTGCGATGGGCTCACGAACAAGTTGTGACCTTTAAGACCTCCCCCGGTGATATTCTGACATTTAATAATCTTCGTATTTTACACGGTCGTACCGGTTATGATGATAGCCAAAATAATGTCCGACACGTTGTTGGTGGTTTTGTCGATTGGGATATTGTCTATTCGAAAATGCGGGTACTCAAGAAGAGTTTGGAACAGAAAACGCAAGAGTAATAATTTGTGAAAGTTTCAGAGAATTGTTTTTGTTGTTTTAGTTTTATTTTATTTTTATAATTAAATATTATTAGGTTTGTATGTTTATTTGTTTCTCGTTACTATTTTATAAATTAGCAAATTATTTTTGTATACAATTAAGTGGAATGTGGTCATTTATTATTGAGCGTGTTCTACTTTTTGAGATCACATAAACAATTTATATTGGTATTTTTTTAATATAATGGAAAAAATATATGATTTATAAAAATGTATAATTTATTAGTTCTTTAATGATAGGTGAATATAGACTCGTTTCCTTAAAAATTATTTAAAAAAAAAATCCACGCCTTGTGTAGGAGCTTGAAAACTATAAATGGTGCATTAATGTCCCTATATATCCTTCGATTTACACGAAATTTGGCATAGCGTACCACATTGAGCCTAGAGAGATGTGTGTTAAGTTTCGTGGGAATCGGTTCAGATTTGGATATAGCTCCCATATATATTTTCGTTCGATTTAATGTAAATGGCACTCTGATGTCCCTATATATCCTTCGATTTACGCGAAATTTGGCATAGCGTATCGAATTGAGCCTAGAGAGATGTGTCTTAAGTTTCGTGGAAATCGGTTCAGATTTGGTTATAGCTCCCATATATATTTTCGTCCGATTTTATGTATATGGTGCACTGATCTCCCTATATATCCTTCGATTTATACCAAATTTGGCATAGCGTACTGAATTGAGCCTAGAGAGATGTCTGTTAAGTTTCGTGGAAATCGGTTCAGATTTGGATATAGCTCCCATATATATTTTGTCCGATTTTATGTAAATGGTGCACTAATGTGCCTATATATCCTTCAATTTACACGAAATTTGGCATAGCGTACTGAATTGAGCCTAGAGAGATGTGTGTTAAATTTCGTGAAAATCGGTGTTAAATTTCGTGAAAATCGGTTCAGCTCCTATATATTTTCATCCGATTTAATATAAATGGTGCTTAATGTCCCTATATAACTTTAGATTTCCTCGAAATTTGGCACAGCGTACTGAATTTAGTTCAGAATGATGTGTACTAAATTTCGTGAAAATCGGTTCAGATTTAGGTATAGCTCACACATATATTTTCGTCCGATTTAATGTAAATGGTGCACTAATGTCCCTATATATACTTCAATTTACACGAAATTTGGCATAGCGTACTGAATTGCTTCTAGAATGATGTGTGTTAAGTTTCGTGAAAATTGGTTCAGATTTGGATATCTCCCATATATATATATATATATATATATATATATTCGTCCGATTTAATGTAAATGGTGCACCAAAGTCCCAACGTATGTTTCGATTTACACGAAACTTGGATTAGCGTCCTGAATTGAGCCTATAGTGATGTGTGTTAAGTTTCGTGAAAATCGGTTCAGATTTAGATATAGCTCCCATATATATTATCGTACGATTTTATGTAAACGGTGCTTCAAAGCACCTATATTTCTTTCGATTTACACGAAATTTGGCATAGCGTACTGAATTAGGCCTATTGTGATGTGTTTTAAGTTTCGTGGAAATCGGTTCAGATTTGGATATAGCTCCCATATATATTTTCGTCCGATTTAATGTAAATGGTGCCTTAATGTCCCTATATATCCTTCTATTTACACGAAATTTAGCATAGCGTACTGAATTGAGCACAGAGAGATATGTCTTAAGTTTCAGATTTTTATATATCTCCTATATATTTTCGTCCGACTTCATGTAAATGTTGCATCAAATTCCTTATATTTCTTTCGATTTACACGAATATTGTTCCCATATATATTTTCGTCCGATTTTATGTAAATGGTGCACCAAAGTCACTATATATATTTCGATTTGCACGAAATTTTGCACAACGAACTGACTTAGGTTAGGTTACCACCAAATGTCCAAGATGAAAAAGACATACACTTAAGCCATATGAGGTCTGTTGTGCGCTCTAGAAGTGCGGAGAAAGTACACATCAAGAATTAGTGAAAGTGTATATTATAAAGAAAAACATTTGGGTTTGATTCCCTATGAATCTAGGAATTCCGTGTTTTTTGCGAACTCCTTCAGTCTTTTCCATTCCCTCCCCCTCAGATCGCTTAGTCCGTAAAGAGTGTCATTTACCAAGAATTGTCTCCGAAGGCATGTAAATGCTGGGCATTGGCATAGGAAATGTTCCAGCATTTCACTGTCTTCCCCACACGCTCTGCACTCGTTACTTCCTTCGCATCCAATCTTGAGTAGATGTACCTTCAGGCCGAGGTGTCCCGTCAGAACACCCGTCAGTCGGCTTATTTCTTTTTTGTTTAGCGTTAGGATTTGCTTAGTTTGTCTTCACTTGGGTCGCCCCATAAGATTTTGGTGATTTTTTCTGTCCCCTCATTATCCCAAAAGGGTTTTGTGGGTCTCATGTGCCCATTCCCTCATTTCTTGGCGTGTTTCGCTAAAGGGTTTGGCGGTATACACATCTATTGTGGGTAGTGTAATGGCACTCCTGGCTAGTTGATTTGCTATCTCGTTACCTTTGATTCCTTGGTGATCCGGTACCCATATAATTCGTACAGGTCCTTGCTGTTGGAAATCAATAATGGTATTTATACATTCCAGTACAGTTTTGGATTTAACTGTTCTGGAAGATATTGCTTTTATAGCTTGCTTGCTGTCCGTAATAATATTTACTGTATTTTGTCTTTGGTTTGAAATTAACCAGTTAAGACACTCTGCCTGTAAGATCGTACTGTGATCTGTAAGACGAAGAGAAATTTCGGTACCCGGTTCTTCGATAAAAAGCCCCAGTCCAGTTTTTCCTCCTAGTCGAGAGCCATCCGTGTAACAACAGTTACCAGGCGGCATCTGAACTAGTGTTCCACTATTCCATTGTTCTCTATCGTTTCAGGTATACGGTCTGAATCTAAGATATTGAAAGTCGACTCATTTGTTGCCTGTAAAATGTTTTTATGCGGTGTGTTGTGTCCGGTGTCTATCCACTCGTCCATTGCTTTAAGTCTTAAAGCTGCAACCGCCGCTTAATATTTTATTTGAATGTCTATTGGGTGTATATATAATATTGTCTCCAAAGCCCTAGTTGGTGTTGTACGCATTGCTCCACATATTCCCAGGCAACACGTTCTTTGAACTTTCTGCAACGTTTTTACGTACCATTTTTTAGCGAAATGAATTAAGTCTAGAATGATGTGATAATCGGTCCAGATTTATATATGCCTGAAATAAATTTTTTATCAGTGAGGTGTACCGAATAGTGTGTATCAATTTTGCAATAAAACGTTTTCCATAAATTTGTCCCATGCTACGCAGACGACTCTAAATCTGGCCGAATGAAATTAAATTTATCATAGGTTGCAGAAAGAAATGCGTATGTCCCTTTCGAGGGAACTTTGACATGCAATATACCCAAAGTGGTGAAAGGTATCATATAGTCGGCCCAGTCCGATTTTACTACTTTCCTTACTGGTTTTTCATAATTCTGTAGTGTAGTGTAAAATATATTTTTCCGTTACAAATAAATTCATTACCTTTCCCACGAATGTGGGGGGCATTTGCAATAAAGCGAATCACTTTTGTTTGAAAACCATTTACAATGTTTAATAAAACCGCCGATTTAGATGTAATTGATAAAAACTAGACTTTGTCCCCCAATGGATCTGTTGATGTAGTTCCAATGTAATCACCTTATACACCTCACAGTCTATAGACAGTCACACCAGACGCCGATGTCGTTGACTTTTAAAAGCAACGTCTAATCATCTCGACGACAAATTGAAAATTCTTATAAATTTGATGGGAATTGAATAGAAGTGATTGATTTTAGAAATTTGGAATTTGGGACGATTTTTTGGGAATTGGTTTTTTTGAGATTTTTTGGAAATAAAATGACATCAGCCGGAAATTTATTTTCTAGCATGTGTTGATAGGGGGTTTGAGATTTTTTTTAATTGATTCATTAAAAGACTTAATTTTCCACCGTGAATAAACTCCATTTCATTCCTACTTTCCTACTTTCCATTCCATTTTTTTAATAATTCCTCCACTATATATTCCATTAATCCATAAATCATCCAATAACTCCTCGGCTTTGGCCACAAATATATATTTTTTTCTATATTCCGCACTTAATCGCTAACAAAATTAATGGATTTCCTTCTGTGAGAATTTAATAGGGAAATTAGACCAACAACCAACCAACAAAAAAAAAAACAAAGTCACAATTCATTCTCTATTTGCATAACAATTTTTTACAATCTCAAAATCCCATCGTGTGCTCCCTTACAGCGAACACACACACCCAGCCATCTATACATTTCCATGAGCAGCAAAAACAAATTTTGGGATTTTTGTCAAAAGCTCATAATACCAAAATGAGCATCGAGCAATTCAATGAGGAAAATAGCGACACGTTTAGCGCTAATTAGCCTCTCGGGCAAACAGGCAGTCGAGCTGGCAGACCATGGCGTGTTCAGTCAGCTCTGGGGTAAAGCCAACCTCCCTGCAAGCAAACAAATCAACCCAGTCTACAATCAAAATCCACTAGAATGAAAGCAACAAGCTTGTTAGCCGCGCGAGAGAGAATATTATTTTGACATTTTTTGTTAGGTTCGTGGACTGGTTGTTTGGATGATTTGTTTGTTTATCGTATTTGAACTCCACCACCTCTTGTTATTACCGCAAACAAGTATGGCCTTTATTGTAGCATCATAATAAAATTGGCCGGTATTTTGGGTTTTTTGTTGCTATGCCCAAAGGCCAAATTCTAAAGGCCGTACCAACAAACTTCATAAATAATCCACGTATAAAACGCATAATTAGGCCCATGTTACAAGTGGCTTGCCGAAGAATGGCAACAAGGATAAAAGTGAAGAGAAAAAAACACCATTCCTCAATGCAACAGCCGTTCGCAATAAATTCACACCGACATTATGGCACAAAGTGCACTTCCATTCAGTGGCAGGATTTCATGTTTTTTGTAGGCATTTTCTTGTT